GTCTTTTGGTTTCCACCCCCCCCCTTTTTTTATTTTTTTCTCCTCCCCCCCCCCCCCCCACCTTCTGCCCCTACCCCCCGCCTTCCTCCACCGAACCTTCACGGAACATTACTCTCGCCGCCGCCTCTGGCGACCCGCCCCAGGACGCGGCAAAGTACGCCCAAGGTCGCGGGATCTTCGCCAGCGGCTCTCCGTTCGAAGACGCCTCCTACGGTGGAAAGGTTGGTGCTGTTTTTGTGCTATACATCCCGCCTGTTTTGTAAATGGAAACCCTTCCCCAAGAAAATCAGAAAAAAGTCAGGGCTGTCCGCGTTAATTGTTTCTCCGCGGTAAAATCACGGTGATTGCAAACAAATGGGGGAACCGTGCGTGTGCTTGCCTCCACCCAGGAGGGGTTCCCACCGAGGACTACGTTTTCCCTCTTTTTTTAGTCGGTAATGCTCACCACAGTAGTAGCGTTAAGGCACCATATGCCATGCGCTTCTCTGTGCACACACAAGTGCCGAGCTCGCTCGCGCCTTCAATGGCCGGGGGCTACATGGGCCATCGTTAAACAAGCAGTAGCCTTCGCAGGGTTTTTAGTAGTAGCCTCCTCTTTTGTTTTTCGTTTTGTAGTAAACATGTTGGATAGAGCATGGAATCCGGGGAAATTGGGTAAGGGTTAGGGATAAATGGTCTGGGTACTCCCCCCCCCTCTTCTGTCTCCTCATAAAACTTGATTTCTCGTGAAAGGCGGTCCTAAAACAAGTCCTCCGCTGGGACGGTCATCGAGACGGACAGACCCAACAGGGGGTACAATACGTTATGTGTGCGAACATGAGTGTGCGCGAGGGGAGCGAAGCTGCATCCCCCTCCACGGGCACGCGGGGGGTGGCACAAGTGATGTCAGCGGCTAAGACCCTTCACAACTGGTACACTGTTACCTGATGACAACAGTTCGTTTTTTTTGCGTGTATGTTTGGTGCACTTCCTGATGACGGCAATTATTTGTTTTTTTTGTGTGTGTGCGTTTTTATGACGTGTTGTGTTTGTGCACACGCAGGTCCTGCCGAGCAACCAGAGCAACAACCTCTACATCTTCCCGGGGCTAGCGCTGGGGGCTAAGCTGTGCGAGGCGAAGCTGGTGAGCTGTCCCATTCGTTGGTGGTGTTGGTGATGGTGTTGGAGTTGTTAGTGTCGCTGCTGTTGTTGGTGTTGACGTTGTTGTGGTCGTTGTTGTCGTCATTGCTGTTGCTGATGCTGTTCTGTGTTGATAGCGTTGTTGTTACTGCTATTGTTTTTGTTGCTGTTTCAGCCTTCCCTCGTCCTTTTTGACAGTGTCACCCGGGCCATAGCGCGTTCCTTCCTCTGCCTCCGCTTCCGCGTGACGGATGAGATTATCACGGGGTCGTCCAGTAGTAAGACATATCCCATACTACGTACGGATGCACAAGTGACACCCATGTCATGGCTCGTTCCTTCCTGCCTCTGCCCTCCCTGCCAGGTGACGGACGGGATGATCATGGCAGCGTCCGAGGCCCTTGCCGCGTCGAACCGCCCGGAAGACCTTGCGGAAGGGAGGGTCTACCCGGGGCTGTCGGACGTCCGCGGCATCAGTGTCAGGTGCTGTAGCCAATGAGTCGAACAACGAACGCGCGAGCGCCTTTCAGTGTCAGGTATTTAAGTAGTCAATTTGTCGAACAGCGACCGGGGACACGAGAACAATAACAAGAGCAGCAGTAGCAGCGGCGGCCGCGCATTGTTGTATTCATTAATTTACGGCTTCATTTGGCTAGGGAGAGTGAGTCGGTCGGTCTCCCCCACACGCTCCCCCCCCCTTGACGCCTTGCCCCAATGAGACCGGTGCATCGCCGTTAACAGGTGTCAAAACCCTCCCCGTCCATCCCCACCCCTCTCCCTCCCACTCTTACTCCCTCCCCCCAGTCCACGAGAAATATCCCAGCGGTTCGTAAGCAACACGTGGGCGCTCGTCATGTAGAGTGGCCCCCATACCACACCGCTCACACACATTCATGTATCCGAGGCTGGCTCGCGGACCTGCCACACAGGTTTCCAACCCCTCCCGTTTCCCGTAATTTTCGCGTTCGTTTTCCGGACCCATGGCGCGTTGCGCGCCGCTGCACTGCTGTTTCGTCGGATGCGCGAAGCGTCGCGTGCTCTGTGATGAAGCAAGCTCACGCGGAAGGCGTAGCGACGGAGGAGAAAGCCATCGCGGCCATCGAGAGGGATAGGCGAGCGTTCGGAGACGACCACGACGACCGAAGGGACGAAGATAACCTGGTAGGCCGGATGCGGAGTGGAGTGGTGTGCGGGTGTCCCCGCCGTCCTTGCTGAAAAAGGCAGGGCTATGTATTGGTTCGCTCTGCTACAGTAGGATAAGTCATGCCCTCCTGTTGCACAATGAGGTGGCATGCTCCACGCTCTTGTGAGGTGGTGGGGACGTGTTTTTTTTTCTCGGTCGAACGCACAAACGGTTTCGTTGAGGTAGCGGTGTGAACACATACCGAACTTGATCGGGAGCATTTTTTTTTTCGACTCATTCTCACCAACCGCCACGGCTCGATTACCTATAATGCCTACCTTCGGCATTCACCGCGCTCCAGCCGAAGAGTTTCGATCCGGGGGCCACACAGAAAGGATCCTGAGTCATTTCAAGATTCAAAATCGTTTTGTGCATGTGTTCCGCCAAAAGGAGAGCTTCGTTGGGCCTCATCACCCCCCTCTCACCCCCAAACCCCGCGTTTCCCCCGCTTCCGAACGCCCTTGTAATCACCCATCCGTGTGCTTGTCTCATGTGCATGCCCCCACGGCCGCCCCCGCCCGGTCACGCAACGAACGATAGTCGCCGCTGGGTAGATACGTGACGAACAAGATGTACTTCCCCGTCTACACTCCGCTGGCCTACGTGCCCCGTGGTGTTCTGGAGTGACTTGACTCGTCGACTGCTGCCATCCGACCGGTTGGGGTCAGCACCAGATACATATGATGCGAAGCAGCCAGCCGCGCGAGGCGCCCAGCCGCGGCGAGCCGCGTGCATCCGGTATTATTGCAGTAGTATTGTAGTGTTGTAGTGGTAGTGGCTTTTTTTTGTGTGTTTGTCGTGTGCTGTCGGTCTTTTTGTTTCTACTCTTGTTGTTCGCGATTGTCTTGGTCCTCGAACACTAATTTACCTAAGGAAATTTCGGACAAGAAGTCTTCATTACTTTTTTCGGGATGCCGCTGACTGAAACCCCAATTTACAATTCGGGAATTTGTTCGGTGTACCTGTCTTGGGGGTAAACACGAGCTCTCTGTCTTGGGAGGATTGAGGGCCTGCTGTCTGTGCGCAGACTCGATGTAAACAACCATTCATTGGATTGATTGGTGGTCTGGCGATAATATTGCTGACTCCCCCTTCTTTTATCTTCCTTGTTGTGCGTGTCATGTAGTCTACAGTAAACAAATACACTCACACCCGTATGGGTCATGTACAATAACGGTTTGACGATGATAATCAACTACCGAAGACTACAACTAACTACGTACGGTCGGGATCTCTCCTCAAGTCGTAAGTCGTTTGTTGTCCAAAACTCCGACGGTATATGCACATGTAGTGGTATGCATCTGTCTGAGGCAAGCAGCAGTAGTAGCAGTAGTCCCCTCTCTCAGACTGCAGACCACGTGCGTATATAGTAACTCGAAGTACAAGTAGTTTTGATTGTTACGAGCAAGAAACAACCGAGACCAACCGTCGAGAACTTGGGGGGACGCAGGCTACCACAGACTGCAGCCAGACTTTTATCTCGGCTCCTCGGTTCTGGCACACGCGCGAGAGATGACGCACATCCACACATACATGCACACATACATACAATGCATGCATGCATACATAAAGGAAGAAAAACATACGTGTGAGAGCTGTTCGCTATATCTTGAATGCCAATTTGTTCGTTGCCTCTAACCCGGCCAAGGGCCAGCCGCACGTCTCTTTCTGTCAGAATAGTCTACTATAGTCTCCCTTCCCTCTCAGACTGCAGCACACGCACGTACCATATGATTCTCATCGTTGCTGGTAACCACATAATTTTCATCAGGACGAGCTGTCCTCGGTCATTTCTAGTTTCTGCGCATATACATGTTCGTTCCCGCGGGTGGGTCGGAATGATTTATCGTTTTCCCAACCCAAATCATGTGCGAACGGCGGGTGGGTAACGTCGTCAGGGGTTCGAACCCTACAGTTCAACTGTCTCCCTCTTTTTCGCACTTCTGCTCGCTTTTCATTTTATGGACTCTCTTATCCAACCTCAACCAAATTCATGTACAGAACGTCGATCAACTCGCATCATATACGCCACACAGATGAGATGTCTGTCTCTTTGGTACAATAGGACACAGGGCTTCAGACGAGGCCGGGGCTACCCCCGGGCTCTTATATGAAACAGATCTCGGGAAAACTCTTGGAGGTTATCTCTCGCGGCGAAATCCGACCCAACCCTAGAAAGTTAGTTTTCAAGACCTCTCTCCATTGGCGCCTTGGGAAACCCAAAAAGTCTGGTATCGAAGAGGAGTTCAAGCTCTACTGGCTGCCCGCTGGCACTTTCTTTCGCGTTATTACCCCAAGACAGGCCGCTCAACCAATGTGGAGACAACCGTCCGTTAGACGTGGCGCAGGGGATGATGACGAGAACTGAACATATGCATATATATATACAGGCAATGCTGAAGTACCATACAGCCAAAACTCGAAACACAACAGCTCTATGTATTCATGGCTATTCCATCCCTGACTCTTTTTTATGTGTGTAAGAAATCGATTGGTTGTGCTTTCGTACAAAAAACATTATACAAACGGCACGTCGTCAAAAGCTCCACCACCCCAAACTTACAGCTCGTGTGTGTGTGTACATCTCTCGAGATCGTCAAATAACCATCTAACTAATGGCAAGCGTTTCTCCCCTCCTCTCGCTTCCGCCGTTAGCTAAGCAGCAGCAGCAACAGTATAGTATTGGTCACACCCTCCCGTCTCCCTCCTTCCCGCTGGCGTGTGCTTCCACCCTTGCCCATCTCTCGGCGGCAACGAACTTACCAGGCGGTTACCAGCAGCGGCAGGCAGAGAGAACAGCCTGGTTCGAAACCTATAAATCCTCCTCCTCAATTCTCAAGCAGTCAAACACAAACAATTACCCCTCCTTGTAAAGCACGGAGAATAACCGAAACGTCAACTACCAAAACCCGATACGAAGTCCTAAAAAACAGTCATTTCCGTACTAACTTCGCCGGTAAACGCGGGAAATAATCCTAACTTCAAATGACAAACACACAACGTCAGATTGCTCGTATACTGCGGCGGGCATCATGCTCCCTCCCGATGATTTCCGACAGTACACCGCGACGTCCAGCATGCCAATTCTGCATTCCAAATCCATCAGATAAAACATCAAACCGAAACAAGAAACCAAAATATTTCAAAGAACAAATGTCGGCACGTCCAGCATATCAGTCACAAATAAACCCGTGCCATCGCACAATTTGTCCTACTCCCCCCCCGCCACAATATTGAATTTCTCCACCAGAAAAATAACCAAAACCTACCATGGAATTTCCTGTCATTAGGCCGAGGAAATCAAGTGTCACTGCAAGGTAAACGCGAGTAGACACTATGCAGGACAAAACCAAAGCAAAACCAAACCTGCAAGAGCGGCAACGATAGGAAAACTGATTTGCAGCCATTCGAACAACGGCGAAGAGTGGAACAGTTATATGGGATCGAAAGACCAAAGACAAAAACAACAGACTGCACACAACCCCAAATCAAAAACATCACGTGCCTTGGGTGAGTTTACGACCCCACAAGTCGCGCTTTTAGCCGTCATTGTTGAACTCTCCCGATCCTCCATAGTCCCTCGTCCGCCTCATGGTCCTCCTGCTGCTGCCCCGGCCGCAAACAAGAGCGCCCCGGCCGTTGCTCCCGCGACATTTTTCCCGATCGAAACGGGTGTCGACCCCCAGCACCGGCCCCCCGTACCCCAGCCCTCATCAGCCACCGTTTCCTCCCGCCGAAAGGGCGCAGCAGTGCCCGAAATCAGGCCATATCCATCTCCTCTCCGTCGTCGTTGCCGATGCTGCTGCTGGATCCATCCACCAGATCATTCCTCCCCGCGCACCCTCGCAAACACGGTGCTGGGATCGAAAGGGTGCGTCGGCGCCCCCCTCTCGCCACAGCCGCTGTCATCCCACCCGTCACAAACCTCGCCGGCACACCAACCACCATCATCGCTGCCGTTGTCGATGTCGCCGACCGCTGTTGCATCGTTGCAGCTATCCTCTGGCTATCGTTGCGCCGTCCATGACCACCTCCTCCGTCACCGGTACAACGTAAAGCAAATCTCACTAACATCAGCGAAGACGGCTTCCTCCGCCGCTGTCGCACAAAAACAAATAGAGCAACAACAATAAAAAAGGTCAAACGTCCAGGATTCAGAAAGTTCCCTGAAACGCAAGGAAAGAAAAAGGAGTAACAAAAGAACAAAAACGCCGGTGAGAGGAAAGAGTGGGTGGTGGTCTCCTTTACTGTACAGGAGAAGCGCGAGATCAGAGACTCAACCTCTCTGCGTCCGGAGCTGAGAATGAAATTCCAGCGGAGGAAGGTACAGATCACGAACGAGAGATATGTCAACAAAAAAATGGTACGAAAGTTATCAGAGTCTTGCGCTGGAAAAGAAGAAATAGAAGAAATAAGTAGGCGCTGTTACCTTGAAACAGGAGAATATAGAAGAAAGAAGTCGGCGCTGAACATGTACACAAGACTCCACCGCCGCCGCGTGTGCGAGGCACCAGACAATACTTACTCCTATCGCGTACAACAACAATGAACAACTTATTTGGAGGGTCCCAATACTTCCGTTGTGTACGAACAACGAAAGACCAGATGGTACTCATGGCCCAATTATTCTCTGCGATCTCTGGGAACGGAGGGCCGTAACATGCAGTAGTTGAAATGGTCTCAGCCTTTGTGTATTTTCGTTCGCCATAGAGACAAAAAAACACAACAAACAAAATGGAAAAAATTGGGCGAAAAAAGAGCAAAAGCATACTATGATCAAGATGTGTGCGTCGTAAGGACTTATGCTATTAAATAAGCATAGAATCATATCGATCTCAGTTTGACGGGGGGCGGGGGGGCGATCTCAGGAACCATCCACGGGGCACCCACCTGATACATGTAGCGTTCAGAACGAAAGCGTTGTTTGTGGATGCGGATCAGAATTCGTGCACATCGCTGGGGGGGGGGGGGTGTACTCATAGTCGTGCATGCCGTAGTCATTAGACCATTGACCTCGCATCCCTACAAAGCCGGGACGGAGCACGCCGGGTTCTCACCGGACCAGGCTCTCACATCACCAAGCGCGAAGCACCGTGAGGTATTTGGCGAGTCGCATGAAGGGTGAGCTGCATCCTGCTAAGGGTGTTCGGCATCTTGTGCTTACTTCCTTGCGTACGGATGACAGCTACGTATGACTTAATTTATTTTCTGGTGCTATCACTTCCAGAGACAGTTGTAAGCACTGTGTAACTGCCTCGAGGGTGCTTGACCAATTTAACACAACGTGGTGCGATCATCCCCCGTTGCGCGGAGTGAGGGTCCTCCACCCCGCACAACATGATCTACTCGACCACCATTATGGTTACCGCCAAAAAAAAAAACCCGAGGTAAAAAAAAAAGAAAACGGTAACCTGGTTGCCGAGTTCACGAAGTGAATTGGCTTGTTTTACAACGTCGTTGCCAAGCGACGAAAACCCAATCCCGATGGCAAACACCGAGCGGGGGGCTGGTTTTACAACGTCGTTGCCAAGCGACGAAAACCCAACCCCGATGGTAAACACCGGGGGGGGCGGCTTGTTTTACAACGTCGTTGCCAAGCGACGAAAACCCAAACCCCGATGGCAAACAAGGCCGTGGGGGGGGGGGGGGGGGAAAGAATCAT